CAAGTGAGAGTTTTTGTTAAAAAATATTTTCCCCCCCCCCCCCAGCAGTTATCTCTGGCAGAACAACCTGGGCTCAGCTCCAGGCCAGTTCTTTTTGTATTGCTCATCCTCTCTCTCTAGCAGATTCTGCAGGTCTAATTAGCAACACAGGCATTGGCCCTTTTGTTGGCATAACGATGTTGTGACCTTCAGTGATCCTTTGTACCCTTCTAGTGACACCCATGCAGCTTGGTGGCTTTCCAAGAGCCTGAGCAGTTGGGAAAGCAGCAGAGAGCCCTGTTGCTGGTGCTCCAGATCTCAGCTCTTTCCTGTAGGAGTTTTGACACTGTGGATTTAGCAGGAGTAAAAAGCTTTGCAAACCCTGCAGGATTTGCACATGGTTGGCTGCAAACTGTGAACAGGTCTGCAAGGTGAGAAAGGTTTTATTTTTATATTGCTGCTCTTTTGAAGTGAAATTCCTTTGAGGTGATTTGTCCTGGAGATTAGCAAATATAAGTAGTTGAGTCTTTGACTGGCATACAGACATTTTTACAGTGTATTACAATATTGGATGGCTCTGTACTAAGTCCCATACAATAAAGCTGTCTCTTTTGCTGCTTTCACTGTGCCTGTGTGCATGCTCTGACCTACACTCCTTCACCAGTTTCTTTTCACACTCTGTACTGTGTCCCAAAGCCTCATCAGTTTTATTTCAGGAGTTATTGGGGACCTTTAGGAAAATTCCTGTAATGCCAAACTTGTCCTCAAAAGACTGAGGTGCATGCATGAACACTCATGGGGAAAACCATGTCTGCCTGCTCACCCTTCTTCAGTTCTGCCTCATGAGAGAATGGCTGCCTTGGGGCACCTGCAGTGTCAAAAATTGTGACAGAGAATGTGTCTGACCCTGCAGCCCCCACCCCATTCACTGTATCAGGAGTGCAAAGGTTGTGGATTTGGATAAGTGAAAGAACAAGCCCTGGAGCTGAAAAGGGCTGAGCAAGTGGTGAGCTTTTATTTGAAGGCACAGTTCAGAGCAAGTGAGTCTCTTTGGATGAAACTAACATTTGCACAAAGGCACCATCCAAAGAATCAAGCCAGAAGCCTGGGCATTTCCTTCGTCAGCTGCACCATGAGAATCAGGAGCAAAGCTGGACATGCCTGTGAGGGACAGCAGGATGCTGGCAGTGCACCCACGGTGGCAGGTATCTACAGCAGGTGCCTGCACTGCCTGCCAACACCCGTGGCTGACACTGAGCTCTGGCAGTAGGGCAAGCAGATGGTCTTGTGCCTCTAAAGGGCTTCTGGAGGCTAGGAAGGCCATGAGTGCAAATCAAGCCACCCTGAGCATCTTGGGGTGCTATGGAGCCAGCCTTTTCCACTTCAAATAAATTTCCCCCATCAGCCTCCAGTGAGCTATGTGGGTCTCTTCAGAAGACAAAGGCAGCAGTGAAAGAATGGATTTCCAGCCTAGTCCTTACAACAAGTCTTATGGAGCAAGAGATTAACAGTGCCCAGTGAAGAGCAGCAAGGTACATTTCTGTAACTTCTGCTTAGTGGATAGTCAGGGCTGAGCTTTGAGACTTGAAGGGAAGGGAAACAGAGCTAATAAAATAATGTTCAGGAGCAATCTTCACTGCAAGCTTTTTCTGAGGTTATATAGCAAGCCCTCTTGCTCTGTTTTTCTTCCAGGATCTAAATTCTGTGATGAGAACAGATCTTGAGTTTGACTGAAATGCAGAGGAACTGTGCCTACTTCAAAACTGCCCCATGTGATCAGCATCTTAAGATCTAGGGAACTACATGTGAGCACAAAGAGGACTGGCTGTACCTCTAAGACAAGGTGTTCTGCCAAAGACAGATGCCCATACGTGTTGGGCAAACATGATCACCCACTGCTGGGCTGCAATGGAGACCATGACCACAATCCCAGGAGGTCAACCAGAGTAACTGTGTACAGCACCTGTGTGAGGACTGTGCAAACACTTCACCCAGTCCTGATGACAACCCTCAAAAAGCGGTGAAGGGACATGGGAATACAAACAAATGGCTGAGTCAAGGTTTGGGAAACATCCTACACTGAGAAATATCAGCAGCTTAGACCTTTTAGTATATTTAAGAGGAGATGAAGAGAGGGCTTGATCCATCTAGGTGGAGAAGAGGCAAGCTAGCATAGACTAGGAGAAAATGGATGGAAGCCAAAGGCAAAAATTATTTGCAATCCTATTCTGAGTTTATCTGACACTGTAGATAATTATCCAAAATTAGGGGTTTGGTGTACAATTCATGCAGAAGGCTTTGTTGCTTGAGCTTAGCAGTAAATCCGATGGATGACCATGATTGTCCTTTTTAACCTTGCAAATCATAAGGCTGTTAAACCCACTGGTCTCTTGTGGCCTATCCCATCACAGGGGAAAGTGAGCACTGTACTGGGCACTACTGTACTGCACCCTGTCCTGATGGACAGCCCCTATGGCCATGCACCAGAACAGGTCCTCTCTCCCCATCAGCACTCCTCAGCATCAGTGCTGTTCTGCTTAGGCAGGAATAGGCCAGAAATTACTTCCCAGGCCAGCATGGCCACTCTGGGAGGGCAGTTAACTCAGCTTCTCAGAGTCTCAATACCTTGGGGCTTTTTGATGGGCTTGTCCTAGCCCAATCACAGCATATATACAAAGCACAGGTGAAGAAGTGGTTTCTGAATGGACTGAAATAAATATTTCTTTTCCATTTTCATGTATTGTTAACATTCTTTTCTCTTGTGATTTGTTATATGATCATTTAATCACACTGACATTGTTGTCTCCAGTGCAGTGGGAGTTTTCATTAAAGATGCTAAACAAGAGCATGGATGTGTCCACACATTCCTCTCTGCTGGATGCTTTTCAGCATCACCTCTGCTGCCACTGTCATGAACTCTCAGTGAAAATAAAGGTCCTGCACTCATACTGTCTCTGGGGTTGCATCCCCTGGGGGCTGATCATGAACAGAACCACTGAGTCCATTTAGTTAGCTACACCTCCACAAAGGTGGCACCACTGCTAGAGCCATTTCCTATAAGATGTCTCATTGACCCCCAAGTGTCAATCAGGACACTGCAATTACTCTCTAATGTAGCCCTGACTTGCTTTCTGTGATTCTGTAATCCTTCCCTTTCCCCTTCCAATCACCTTTCCTGAAGGCTAACAGGAATGGTTTGAATTCCTCATGACTGCAAAACTCCTGCATTTCCATCCCCACACACTTTACAGTATTGATGGTGACACAGAGTCATTACAGAATAGAAACAGTGAAGGCAGCAAAACAGAAAGGACACAGGTTTAGTCTGTCACAAGCAGAAGTATCCAACATTTGACCAACAATCTTAATATAATCAGCTATATCCTCAAAAAAAACCCAAAGGATTTTTTGCTCCAGATATACCTTGTTATATGCCTGACTATAAAAATCTTCATACAAAATTCCAGATATTCCCCAAGCATAATATAAACGATCAGAGCTCAGTAATAGCAAAAAAACTCTTCCTCAACTCAAAACCTCCTAAAATGACTGTCTACAAAATAGTGGGAGAAAAATGTCACATAGCTTTTTTGAGAGACAGAGAGGGAAACAGAAGAATCAACAATATTTTAAGTATTTTTAAATATCTTACTTCTATACATTGAATGCTCTTTCTGCTTCCTCTGATAACTGACCATAGCCTTGAAGTTTCCAGAGACAATTTCATTTTTTCCTCTCAAAAGGTCTATAAAACAACTGATATGGGAATATCAAAATAAATTCTGCATGTTTTCATTTCAGATCTCATGTCAATCTAATCTTCAGTGAATGCCACAGTCCTCATGGATCTAAGTTTCCTCTCCACTTTCATGTAAATACTCAACCATGTTTTAACCCCAGTAAATATAAGCAAATTATTCTTCTTTTTTTTTGCACCCTTTCAATCTCTGAGATCTGTCTACAAAATAGTGGGAGAAAAATGTCACATAGCTTTTTTGAGAGACAGAGAGGGAAACAGAAGAATCAACAATATTTTAAGTATTTTTAAATATCTTACTTCTATACATTGAATGCTCTTTCTGCTTCCTCTGATAACTGACCATAGCCTTGAAGTTTCCAGAGACAATTTCATTTTTTCCTCTCAAAAGGTCTATAAAACAACTGATATGGGAATATCAAAATAAATTCTGCATGTTTTCATTTCAGATCTCATGTCAATCTAATCTTCAGTGAATGCCACAGTCCTCATGGATCTAAGTTTCCTCTCCACTTTCATGTAAATACTCAACCATGTTTTAACCCCAGTAAATATAAGCAAATTATTCTTCTTTTTTTTTGCACCCTTTCAATCTCTGAGATACATCACAAATTTTTTAATTATTTTTTTTTTGAGGGGAGAAATTATTTTCTCTGTAGAAAATGCATTAAAACTTATTCATTGGCAAAAACAGTAACAGAAATATGACTGAGAGATCACAGTCTATAAATGCAAACTCCAATTATCTGTTAATCATTACATCTTCACCTGAAACACTACATTTCTCCAAACTATTGCTATTTGAATGTAATATATATAAATATATATATGTATACTCACCTGCCTTTTTTGTATACCTCATGTATTTCTTTTCCTTGTCGGTGTGCTCTGCATTCAGTGGATAAAACCCATCCCCACAACAGCAGGAAGATGCTAAAATGCATTTTATGGACAGTCAACATGTTACCTGAAGGTTCTGTATCCAGAAATAGTCCATGCAAGAAGAAGAAAATCAAAATGTAGATCCTGTTTCTCCTTTTAAGACATTATCGGTCTGATCGTTAGTGGAAGGCTGTTTACTCATACAAAAAATCATCCTGCAGTATTTAATCTGGACAGTGGGGAAAGCAATTTCCACTAAACCTATAAATCCTTCTACGTCAGATGGCAGGGATTTTCTAGCAGTGTTGAATTCATGTGTTCTCAGAGAACAATTATGTTTTTCCCCAACAGGTTATGCTATTAATTGGTTTAAATGGAACCATTTTCAAGGACCTGTGGGGAATGACACACAGGTGTTCCTGCCTGCTTAACCAAGTAGTGCAGTTGGTTAGGCAGGTGTCATTACTTGTCCTTTAATCACCAAACTTATCTGTGCAGCAATAACATTTGTTACAGACATTGCAAAAGATTGAAAATGTGTTCATAAATGTGTATCAGTTTCCAGCAAAAACGCTTCGTTCCCATTCAGCTCTACAAGAGAGTGTTTGGACCCTGAGTGCTTTTCTGTGTTGCTTTACTAGGCAGTGGGACTGTGCCTGGAGTGGTCGGTGCCCCCAAGACTTGTGTCATGGACCTCACTGCTCTGCTGAGCAGGGTCTCTGGAAAGCATCCTGGTGTGCAAAGGAAGAGGGGGACAGTGTGGGGGAGGCAGCTCTCCTTTCTGCACAGGGCTGTTTGGAGGGGCCCTGCTGAAGCAGAGCAGCAAATGCCAGAGCTGCAGGAGATCAGGGACCTCGTGGTTCATGTGGCTGACAAAACCCTCACTGGTGCTAAAGAAAATAAAACAGCATGGGAAGAAGTACATGGTCAAGCCAGCCACATTGCCCATCCCTGTGCAGCTCCCCCACTCCCTGTCTAACCCACAGCTCCATGTTTACTCTCCTCCTCTGTGCCTCCCCCCAGGGCCTTACAGCTCTGGTCCCACTTGTGCCTTATCTTGGAGACCTTGTCCCGTGCTTTGGAGACACCATCAGCCTTGTCCCATCCCTTTGCTGACAAGGTTCTTCTTCCTCTGCTCATTACCCATGGTTTTCTATTTTACACCAGTTCACCAAGTCACCTATCTCTTTTCATTAAAGCCCTTTCTAAAAATCCCTAGGAAGCCAATCCCTACCTGGTCTAAGCTGCTGTAGCTTTATTGACTTCAGTGAGCATTTTCACTGCCTTGGGATCCACTGAAACAACACATCAACAGCCACTGAAATTTCAATCCATCAACCAAGATTCAATTTAATGATGTGTTGAGCTAAAATATTCCCCCTACACAATGTCAAAAAGGCTTCAAGAGATGGGCAATCAGTCACTAGCAGTTTGCTGCAATGGTTCATCACTGTTGCTGTTCAAAGAAGTTGTACCCATCTCATCTTTAAAAATGATCTGCATTCAGTTCCCACTGATCCACGTATCCTTCTCAAGGACAATAAAAAGTACCTTAATAGCTGTTCTCTTCACCTGGGGTGATGTCAGATAATTCTCTTTTCAGTCTTTGTGATAATCTACACAACATTTTATCACATTTTTCATCAAAGGATCTTTTTCTTCTCTTTGGAACACATTATTGCTACTTCATGCACTTTAAAAAAAATGCTGGTCCCTTGTCTCTGCACCAAATTGTTTCCTGGGAGCAATGGGGATTGACAAGCAATGGATAACTATGAATTCATGTGGGTGCCCTAGAAAAGCTAGAAGTCCCTTGGTACACAGCAGAGAAGGGAAATATTCCCCCTCTGACTAACAGAGGGAATTTACTAGAAGATACAGAGAAGGCAAAAAAAAAATAATTGTTCAGTTCTTCCCCTTATTTTTGTGTTGTTTTTTGTTTTGGTTTTTTTTGCATCATTGTTCATAGAAAAGTTCAAAACAAGCTATTAACAGAAAAATCCTGGAACAAATTGTCAGAAAACATATAAACTCCTGGAAAAAAATTACTGGATGAGGGACAGACATGGGCTCATCAAGAACAAACATGTTCAACAAACTTAATTTCTTTCCCTGATAGGCTGGCAGACTTCACAGCTGGGGGAGAAGCAGTAGATTTAGAGAATCTATTCACTCCATCTCACATGACATTCTCCTAAGCAGACAGGGAAGCATGTTCTTGATGAAAGATTGGTAGGATGGGCACAGAACATTGCTACCTTTAGCTTGGTTGATCTTGCTGTACCCCAAAACCAGTAATCCATGACTCACTACCAACCAGGCAAGAAAGCAGCAAGTTTTGCAAATTCTGTTTATAACCCATCTGTCTCCACAATGAGAACATGGTCAGAAAGAAAAAATACTACTTGTTTTTGCCTTTGAGTCAGCTGTGTCCTGTGCTGACCTTGTCAAAGCAGAAATCCAGATTGGAGAAGAGTTACAAGAGCCACCAGCCATCATGGGAAACCAGGAGTACTTTCAGCACCCAAGAGAGCAAGGAACAATGCTGTGTGTCTGTCACAACACTAACTCCAGTCAAATCATGAACCCAGCCCTCTTTTGCTTAATCAATAACCCCAAACTTCAAATAGTGCAGTAATACATGAAATACACCACGTAAATACCCTGGAGTTATGATCAGACTCCAGCAGCCACACATCACAGAGCCCACAGCATTTACATTTTCTAACCTCTACCCAATGGGTGTCTGCCTTTATCTACAAGCTTTTAATGCAAATGTGGACGAATATGTCACTGTATCTGTTGTGATTTACATTTCCAGTAGCTGAAGGAGCACAGAGGTACCTGTGTGATTGATAGGATGCTGTTTGTCTTCTGGGAAGTTATTTCCCCTGTGCTGCTCTGTTTCTTTCAGAAATGGCAGTGCATGTCCCCAGGGCACACTGCCAAACTGTAGCTTTTTACTTCGTTAGTGCCTTCAGTCACGGGTACTGTCAGAGACTTTAGAAGTCAGGCTCAATATTAAGTCAGTGGGGTTTCTGAATCCATTACTTGTGTCCCTTTTAACAAGTGCTCTTCCATCCTTTGGAATGTTCACAGGAGAGACGTGCTCACTGCGCGCACTACGTCAGCTGGATCCTTCATGTTTATTGGACATGGCAACATCTCCCAGGAGGGTATTAGTACAGATGAGGAACAGAATTTTAACAAGCTGGGCCTAAGGGGCATATCCATTGAGCTTCCCTCTGGTGGTGTCAGGCACAAGAGGCAAATACGCTGTGTTAATGGAGAGCAGAGACCAGGAGCTGCTGGCCAGAGTGGGGCAGGGGAAATGTCTGAACAGTAAGATTTTACTTTTCAGTATTAAAGATCAGCGTGTGAGCTGGCATATGTGTGCACCAGCATGGGAATCATACCACTTTATACTCCCCAAGGATTTCACACCTAATAGCTCTTGGTCTTTATTATCATATTTGTCTGGTCTCTCTTGCACCCCTTGCTTATAATATCACACTGAAGCAGATTCACGTGCTCCTTGTCTCAAACCTTGGGACTTCTCCAGGAAGACACCTAAAGAAACGCACCTCAAGAAATCATAAACACCAAAGAAGAAGTAGATTTCCATGGAACACAAATGGCAGGGAGAAGCCAAGTGCTAACGAATCCATGACCCCAAGTCTTCTTATCACAGAACAAAGATCAGACAGAGGCAAGGCCCTGTACGTGTGCCTCTAAGCTGCTGTAAATCCCTAAATGGATTGTGTGCTGTATGAAAGACAAGGGAAATAGGCCAAGCCTGCACTGGGCAGAACCCTGAAAGGTTACAGCAAACAATGTGCTGGGGTGAGCTGCAGTGCTTCAGGCCTAATGTGTCCAGCTGCTGCTCCTCACTGCTGCCATCAGGCACAGCTTTAATACCACTCTGGTTTCATTAGCGCTCCTTCCTCAGGGATGCCTTTGCTTCTTTATTCCCCACGGGATGTGTCATCTTGCCTGTGCGGATGCATTTGAGTTCCCAAGTGCCTTTCCCTGGCCTTGCACTCTGCCTGAGAGATTATGTGCCTTGCGTGCTGAGCCGTGGCCTTTTGTCTCAGGCTGCCCTGCAGTTTCGCCCGCGCTGCGTGAGCTGGATTAGGCGGCTTCGTGCGCGTTCGGCTGTGGGGCAGCAGCTCTTCTGCACGCAGGTGCTGCTGGGGGAGCTGGGGAGAGAGGCTTTCCAGGGTAGAAGATAAAAAGACACCTTCAGAAGGATGCTTTGCTGGTAGCAGTTTAAGAGGGCTGAATTAACACGATGAAAGATGCACACCAGTGCCTGCTGGGGAGTATTTTTGTCTGCTACGAGCAGATGTACTAGAGGAGGCAGACATGGGATGCTACGGGTGTTAAGGGGTACCTGGTGCTCCCCCAAATGTCCTAATCCCCAGAGCACACAGTACACTTGTTTACCAGGAGGGACTGCTCCCTTAAAGAGTGCAAATTTAGCTCTGGGGGAAGATTCAGAACAAAAAGGTATGAAAGCATTCAGACTGCTTTAAAATTTTGCTCTGCACATCCTGGACAGGCACTAGTTTCATTCTGGCTACTGGATTCTGGTCCTCAACCCTCCTATTCAGCCCATGTCGTTTTTTGCAATAAAAGCATTTCTTGCACATCCAACCTTAGATAAAAAGGGTTTTCCAGTTTCTTCTACTGTTCTCACAGCCCATCTGCATCACTCCCATGGGGAATTTAGTCAGTAATACATTAAAGGCCCCTGCCTGTCGACCAAGAAATCATTAAAAATGTTTTTCAAACAATAGCAACAAAATGGAAGAAAAAGGGTGATGAGTCAGAAACCCTTATACACAAACACTGAGACTCCAAACAGGGCCATCTTGAGGCAAAAGCTAATGCAGGTACAATTAACAGCTACAGAGCTGTCAATAGGAATTCAGAGAAGGCAGAAATGCTTAATAAAAGAGTTATTCTGCCAATATTCAGAGGGGATTAAATGAGCAACTGCAGTAATTACAGCCCTCAACCTGACACTGATCCCAGGCAAAATATTGGAATGGCTCTTATGACACTCAGTAAATAAAGA